GAAGTAATAAGGAGTGCGGTGACGCACGCACTCCGTGAGATGACGGTGAAGCTTGAGCGATCAATAAATAATTTTGAATTAACTGTCTGTTGTGTAGCCAGAACTATAGAAAAGCTGACCTCCCGTGTTGAGTGACCGGAGGGTCACTAGAGGGAGGTGCGAGGGAGTGTGAGAGAGAACGTGTAGAAGTGAGGAATGAAGAAGGATCAGTGTGACAGGACTGATAGACAGTGAGAGAGTATATAAGTGTTCGGTTCTGTAAATAAATCATTCCACTCCCAGTGTGGTTGCCTGACACCTTAACTGCAGGTGCCCCTGGTACATGAAAAATATCTATCATCAGCAGTAAAAATAAAAGAACTCTTATTACTTTATTCCAAAAATCCGTCCATCATAACCACAAGGTGTTGTTTATTTACATAACATATAGTACTGGAAACAATTTAAAGCACTTTTGTACATTTTTAGGTATATCGCATAATCTAATAGTTGACATGGTGAGGTAAAGAATGTGATAAGTATTTTTGCCAGCAGTACTGGTCGCTGAGGTTGACCAGGAACATGTTCAGCACATCCTTGGACCGAGAGACGTGAGTGAGCAGGTAACTAAAAATGTTGCAGATGAGCGCTGTGTGAAATCCGTGCACATCTTCACTTTCGTTATAACAATAATAAAATAGCGCAGTCAGCGTTGAGCAAACTTTTGGAAAAAGCCATGCATTAAACTTTCCATGCATTGTTGACTCAGACATGCTTATGGTTAAAGAGGTTAGAATGCGTAGTAGATTACGAAAACACTTGCCAGGGCCATCTGCTGCTGAAAATGTTGCTTTTTGAAATCTGATGATGGTAAGTACCGAGGATTTGGTTTGCTTGGGCTAGATTAGAACCCAGGAAGGTGCATGTGGTGATGCCGCGCTTTGCCTCAACGATATCTTTGCGTTCTAGGAAAATCACACTTTGTTCACTCGGAAAAGACAGGTCTGTTTTCAAAGGAATTGGCTTTGTCAAAATTAAAGCGAAGTGACGGTTGTAGCACGAAATTATACCTCCAGCCACCTTAGTGAACCAACGCTGAGGATTCGCTGGTACGGTGGCAGTATCAGATACGGTAGCACCGTAGAGAAATATTCAACTTTATGGGAACGGAGCGGTCGTATTGGTTTGACGTTCGTGGGTCCTACTGACAGAGCTGATAGCATTTGAGAGCGGCGTGGAGAGTCAGCGATAGCTTTTTTTCCAAGCAAAAGGAGTTTCACAGAGGGGTTCGAAATTTCCTCAATCATATTTTCGGCCCTCACTTCTTTCTCGATGGTTTATCTATAGGAAAGTCAGGTTCTGCTAT